CGTTATCCGTTAAGAGTTCGTGTGCTCGTTGCCGCCGCCGACCAGGTGCTCTATGACGCCATACAGCGTAGCAAGGAAGGCAGACGACGTCCTGACGATATCGACATTGTCTCCCCAGTTGTTTGCCCGCCGCATCGTCATCAAACATCCCTCGAGCATCGCAGCGCAGCGCTCCTCGTTGATAGGGCCTGTGTCCGCCGGTATTCCACCCCCCATCCAATGCGGCCTCTGACTGCCCTCTGCCGTTCCCTCTCTGCTGACGTCCCCCGCGGATCTCAGAGGGAATAAACCCTCCGGGATGGAAAGGAGCAGGAGCATTTCTATTTCGTGTCGAGTAAAGACAGGACACTCGGCGGAGGCCTGCACCGAACATCCGGTGAGTACATCACATATCCACGGGACATGCACACCTACATCGAGGGGATCTTCCACCGCAGCGTCGCGGAGCTCGTCGTCTCTGGCTGGTGCGGGTGTCCGAGGTGGCACAGTCACCGAGGAGAGCCGCGTGCGGGCGTCCCTGATATCCGTGACAGACTGCCGAAAAGCCAGTGCAGACACGGCGCTCCCTTTGCCTTTGGACTTCCGCTCACGCCCTTTTGTGCCCGACATGTTGTAGTGGCGAAGTAAAGCGAAGGATCGCTGCCCGCTGAGTGGTGACAGCTCGGAGACCGCCGATCACACCTGGTACGTACATATAGACGCTGTGACACTTCCTCTGTCCGTATATGTACAGAGTTCACTTCTCCCGCGTGGCAGGACCCCGCACGTTTTTCTTGCCCTGTCCTCTTCCTTGTACGCTGACGACGCCATAATGTACCCTAGCGATACAGAGGAGAGACCAAAGTCCAGGCTATTCAGCCTCGGAATTCTGCCGACCGCTCTGCCGGCGCCGCCTTGCTACCCTGCTCGCTTGTTGCCGTCTAACCCGGAATACGCTGAAAATGTGTTCTATGAAAGACCTGGCGAGGGTGTGTCCTCTGCGCCAGGTAAGTCGCCGCGCTGTCAATATGTTTTCAGTTCATCTCGCTAATATATTTTTGTCCTAGCACCAAGGTTGAAGGGTGGGCCCGGGTGCAACGGTATAGTGCGCGTCGGAGACGTGTAAGTGAGCTCTGGCTCCCGTCCCAGCGACACGGTGTGCTGACCGTCTGCGCGCTCGCTCGCACCTCAGGGTGCATACAAACCACGGCATATATTATGTGGACAGTTTGAGTTTCCACCACAAGCCGAAAGTCGTAAGCCTTTTTGCGCACGTAGAGTTCTGCTCGCGCAGCAAAGTTGATGATCATATCTCCACAGTTCGCCGCTACGGTGTATCAACTGGTCCGCGTACCTACTCTGCGGCGGAAGATTCCCCTGCACCAGCTGCCGCGCAAGTTCCACATCATGTTTGGAGAGATGGAATTATGTGCAATATCACCCTCAAAAGAGCTCATGACCTCGGAGTTCACTCGTCACGCCACGACGACGGTGTTCGACCCGGCGATCATTTCCCTCCCGTTTAACGATCTCCCATTTGTGTATCTCCGTCGCAACGTGTTCCTGCACGAGGTCCGCTCGCGCGCTGAAAAGACGTCTTACTACGTACTGAAAAACGTGAGTAGATCGGTTCCCCACCTGCAGCTATTCTCATGGTCTCCCACACGCCAGCGGAACAGGGTCGACATCTGCCCGGGGACTTGCGATTTCGGGCACATATATGGCCCGGACATCGACATCCTCCGCTACTGCTACCACTGCGAGAGGTGGCTCCACGCCAGATGCCTCGACCGCGTTTGCGACGAGCATGTGGACGAGCTCCTCGCACGCGACTTGCAGTGGAAGCTGCCCAGCAATCCCACCAGAACCGACCTCCTGTGGTGGTTCCTTGTCTCGGGGCCCATTGAGCGCAAGCCGCTCTCTCTGCTTCACCCTGGTCGTCCCGGGATAGCGGACAAGAAGGAGAGGTCCGTCGTCAAGGCAACCTCCATACCTAGCGGATGGGAGATGTACGTACATTTTGCTAGACACTACCATACTCGCCACAATCAGAACGGACCGCCGGCGAATATCGATTGCTGGATGTACAACGTCGGCTTCCCCCCCCTTGCCTCTCTCAAATCCCACATGATGCACCGCTTCGACAAAGTGCAACGCTATTCATGCCGGGAGTGCAATGCATGTATTTAAATGATCTCTTGACATCCTTGCGCAGTTGACTTGCACATACCCTACGCTCACTTTTGTATTTTGATTGTATTTACTTCACGCTCATCGCTGCCCCAGTCGCTAGTTTCCGCCCGCACATACTCTCCGCCCCTCGCACGACATCGTCCGATCCGTAAAATGTACATTCATGCATCTTGTTGTATATCAATTACACGCTGTCATCGACTTGGTTGGTAATGTGTGTAAACCCGCAGCGAGGTAGCAATTCACACGTTAAATTACGGGACGTGCGCGTGACGTACTGAGTGCTCACTACTGCATACCACCATCAACAATCGCCACATCTACCCACATGCACCCCAGCCGGACAAACGACCGCGACCCCGAGTTAACCAATCGGGAGGACTCCGTCGCGCAGGCAACCACCGATGCGAACGGCGGCTTACTTCAAGTACAGCGTATGCTCGAGGGGATAAAACGTGAAGAACGATACGCAAAATCGCACTGCACCTCTTGCGGCAAGGACGGCGGCGGTACGCCCCTGAAGAGCTGTGGGCGCTGCAGGTACACCGAGTGGAGTATGTATGTGGACTAGCTAACGTGCAACTTGGCAGAGCGACTCGTTACTGCAACAAGGACTGCCAACTGGCCGACTTCACACGAGTGCACAGGCGTGAATGCGAGACGTTTGTGCACCTCCCCACGACTATGGCGTTCCTATCAACGGTCGAAAATGAACAACAGTTCCCACCGCACCCAATCTTTGCGCGCTCGCACCAAGAACACGTCGGCTGCTGGGTCTCCATTGACGGCCGAATTGACGGCTCGTACGTGGATACAACGTCTTTACGCGAGGGTTCTAACTGTATTAACGTATAGGTTGCAAACGTTGATGGAAAGCTTGGACCCTGTGGGGATGACGAGCCGCATGATGCACATCCTGGCTGCGCCTGCTTGGACGGCGAGCCTCGAGACGATGCGGGCACACAGGGCATGTGCGCGGAGCATTCTCACCCTCCGCGTGCTTGTGCAGAACCGTCGCAAGGATAAGACCCCGATCCTGGTGTTCGCATCCCAATCACAAGTCCTGAGTCTGCCATCCTCGACCGCCGCAGTGCAGCGGGGAGCGGGGCAACACGAGTACAACGGCATTGCGACCTTCAACCTGGACAAGTAAGTCGACAATGGCAATGTGTGGGCTACAGCACAATCACTGATCACGTCCACTTTGTGTAGTGCGCCGCGTGTGGCTATCGGCGTTGCCCGTGACCCTTGGTACAAGGTCCCCCGGCTGTCTATCCGGCAGTTCAACAACGTCGAGGTAGGTAAGCGGATGTATGCATCGCTCGCCGAAACGGCTCACGCCAGGTATTTCATAGCTGGTGAACGATGCTCCGCTCCGAACACAAATCAAGGACGCCAGCGACGGTATCGTGCTTCTGAACACGGGCGACTTTGTCGTCTTCCACCTACAATTCCGCGTCGGTGATGGTGAGACTATCTCCACAGACTGGCAGGCGCTCAGCGCCCTGGAGGCGATTTTCGTCCCTTGGCTGCCGTGGGATGGGGTAGAACAGCCGACGTCCCTTTCCAGCACGCTGCCGACCGTCCAATCACGGGCTCCTGCGGATGCTACGCCGGCGCTCGGGAGGCTACTCCGCGCGGGGATCGACCAAAGTGCCGTAAAGGACTACTTTTCTGACTTAATGGAGCTCGGCGAGGAAGCTTACATAGAGAGCCACTTTGGCCCAGGCCGCGCCGACATTGTGGGCAGAATGGACGCTATCATGAACACGCTGGTGATGGAGATGATTGGGGACATCTCACGTGCTGGTAACATTCGCGCGTTGATCCAGCGCATCTCCGACGCCGGTTTGGAAAGCCTGCTCGACAAATTTGTAGTGCGCAACTAACGCGACGGCGTAGACCGACGAACGAAACCATGTACCGCTTGAAATACATCGCAGTCGTTTGTACATATGGCATACACGGACGCCGAACGTAGTGCAAAACACCCTCCGCCCTCCGGAAGCAGTCCGCGAAACAGCACATGTGTGCAGTTTCGCGGTCGTGCGCAGAGTGACCATGCGCAAAACACCACACGTGTGCAGTTTCGCGGTCGTGCGCAGAGTGACCATGCGCGAAACACCACACGTGTGCAGTTTCGCGGTAGTGCGCAGAGTGACCATGCGCGAAACACCACACGTGTGGGGTTTCGCGGCGTACAGCGGTCAGGCCAGTTGCGAAACTGCACACGTGTGCTGTTTCGCTGGGGTACACGGCCCGGTGGACGAGGCCGTACTCAAGTTCTCCACCAGTGGTACACTGGCGGTATATCAAACTCAGTAGTCGAGCGGTCATGCACGGTATATCAAACGTCCACAGTGTTTGATATATGCTCGGTAGTGGTACAGCGTATACGGAATGCAAGTGGTATATATACAGCATATGAGAGAGACGTAGTTGACGGAGGACGGAGTCACGATTCTTCGCAGAACTTCGCAGCAGTATCGTACATACCAGCCTCGCGCAGGCGTTGAACGAGGGGAACCAAATTACGACTCTGGACAATTCCCCGAAGGAGTCTGTCGCCCATCATCATCATAGCAGACTCGGTTCGATGGGTCAGATCTGCACGCACGGCGCCGAAGTGGGTACGCATGTAGACCTCCTTACCATGTTGCCAAAAGTCCGCAAAATAATGCCGAACGGCTTCCTGGTCGAGTGGTACACGTAGTAGATGTCCAATCGCAGGGATACCGCACACGGACGTGGGGGATTGGACGGTGGGCAGCAAGGGAGGCAATTGAGTAATTGCGGGGACGCCGTTCCAAGGTACATAAGGAAGGAAGATGGCCTCGATAGTGCCGAGGGCGTCCCATTCCTTGGAGATCGTCCCATCGTTGCCGAGGCGGAACTGCAGTTGTAAGACAACAAAGTCTCCCGTAGAAAGGAGGATAGTTCCCTGATCCGCGTCCTTGACCTGTTTGGGAAGAGGTGCGGACGACACAAACTAGAAACGCAAGATGAGCCAAGTTCACTGAGTGCGGAGCGACGCTGCGTACCTCATTGGTGTTTATTTGAACGATAGACAACCGGGGAACATGATCCCACGGGTCGTGAGCGACCCCCATGGCGACGCGCGGCACACTGTAGAAAACACGTATAGTCAGTCTCAGTCGCTGTATGTGCCAAACGGTAAAATGATAGCGATACTCACTCGTCCTGCGAGAACGCCACAAGGTTGTCGCATTCAGCTGTTCCGTTTTGAACTGCATCTGTCGAAGGCGCCAGGCAGAGGACTTGTGCTCGCGAAGCAAACACCAAAATAGGGGTTTTGTCCTTACGCCGGTTCTGTACGAGGACGCGAAGGGTGAGGAGGCTTCGCGCGCAAGCCTTGTAGGCGCGTATGGTCTGGCGGCTGGCCGCTGCAACCGGCCCACACATTGTGCGAATGTACCGGTGCATTGTCGTATATGGATCGAGGCTGTCCGTCAATTGTTGCAACCTACAAAGTCATGCGGTCAGCACGTGGTTACAACTTACGACCACATAAAGCTCGACGTACTCGCAATCAATGCGGCCGTCGATGGAAACCCAACAGCCGACGCTTTGTTCGTGGGCGTGCGCAAAGAGCGGGTGGAGAGGAAACTCTGCATCGGTGTCGACCTGAGGTTGGAATGCCATCGTTGTAGGAGGCTGCTTGAAATTGACGCATTCGTCTTTGTGGCCTGCCCTGAACGCGGCGAGCTGGCAGGCGCGGTCGCAGTAACGCGCGGCTCTACAGTTGGAAGGCAAGCAATTAGTAATAGCTCATGTATGTACAGAACGATCAAAACATACTTGCAGTGAGAACAGCTTTTTAAGGGGGCACTCCCACCGTCTGTCCCGCAAAACGAGCAGTGCGTTTTTTCATAGTGCTCCCGCTCCTTTCTCTTGTCAAAGCTGAGCTTCAGTGCATCGACGCTTAAGCTTGAATCGGAGCTTATTCTCAACGCGCCTTCGGTGCTGATAGACTCCATATTGCTAACGAGTGTAGTGGTGGAGTGGGAGTCAAAACAGACCGCCGCAAAACAGAGGAACCGCGTCGCGTGCAGCGGGAGAAGCGAACTTCGTGCGACGACTGCCAAATGCAGTTCGACGGCGCTTAGAGATGAACAGCTGCTGCGGTGGATCACGATACTCACTTAGGCTCTTCCACGTCCTACCGCCCATCACCGTATATCTTGTTCACAACATGCCTCACGGAAGCCGCCCCCGACGACGCCACCGACAGAGAGGTGAACGCAGGCCAACAACTCCCATGGAAGATACCGTCGCACAGATCTTCGAGGCGGCGACCGGACTGCGCCTCGACGACGTGCCTGACGACGTTCCGCACCGTCCCAGTGAGGTAAGTGAGCAGCGCGGTAGTAGAAAGTGAGAGCGCACTAACCGGTCATGTTTGATTCAGGTTGAGCGCCGCTTCACGCGTCACGAGATCGAAGTGATTATGCTCCTGTCCATCGAGGAAGGGCTGGTCTTGCCACGCCCCTCTGGTCAGGAGAATGGGAGGCAAGAAAGGCGTAATCGTCCCGAGCTTTCGCAGATGGGGCCTATGAACGAGGACCGCGCGGCGTTGATGCTGGATTCCTTCCGCGGGATGATGCGGCGGGCGAACAATTGGCGGGAGACCTTGCAGGCACTCAAGTCGGCCGGGTGCTTCCTCACGACGATGACGGAGGTGACCATTGATGAAGCATGGCGCGTGTTGCCGCAGGGGCCCCCTGAACAAGCCTAGACAACGATGACTTCGGACAAGTGCTCCTATCTGCCGTCAGTGCGTACACATATTCACAGTATTATCCTCTGCTCACACAGACGAACGCCTTGCAGAGCAGAGCCCACCAGCAACTGACGATTCCGGGAGGACCGCGAGGACCACGAGGACCGCGAGGTTGAATTGCACCCGCTGGACAACGCGTCGACGGGATGTGAGGGATATTGGAGCGTTTCGGGAACATTGTGGAATCAGCGGACAATGTAATCATATAGAATGAACGAATACGTGTTTGTTGACGGTCCAATCGAGCGCAAGGCGGCAGGCTACTATGAGATTGCATGACCAGCAATAAAGACATTTATTTTCCTCGAACCCTATGTTATGTTGGGACTTAACGCCACATATAGGGACATCGCACACGGAGACATTCACCCAGATCGCCGAACATATCCCGCGAAACAGCACACATGTGCTGTTTCGCAGCCTGATAGAGGACGGCACACCGCGAAACACCACACGTGTGGTGTTTCGCGCCCTGATATATCGACCGTTCGCAGCCTGACAGACGACGGCACACCGCGAAACACCACACGTGTGGTGTTTCGCGCCCTGATATATCGACCGACACCGCGAAACAGCACACATGTGGTGTTTCGCGACCATATCACGGCGTACATATGTGACCTACCACCCGTGCACAGGTTAGCTGAAGCACAAAGTCGGCGGGCGGGCGCTGTTGTAGGGTTGCGAAACTGCCCAGATGTGCTGTTTCGCGAGTGGGCCGCTGTTTCCGAACGCGGCACAGACACATTTCATTCACGGGTTGGCAGATAACTAACAGGCTGCATGGTTTATGGATACTTAATGTACACGATAGACGGAGACAGAGTCAAGTAAGTAGCATTGCGGTGATAACTCTCCGTACCCCCGTACCGTACAACGAAACAGCTACAATGAATTGCACGGAAATTAGTGTGATTGTCGTAGTATGAGGGAACATTTACACCCACCAGTGACATCGACACCTTCAACAGAGAGCACAGGTCGACGCTCTCAACAGCAAGCACATGGTCAAGTGCAGCGTATGGCCATCCTATATCGTAGAAGGGATCATGGTTGAGCTCACGATGCGGCATGCAAGTGCTTACCGTTGTCGTCGTATACTGGGCGAGCGACATCGTCACTGACTGCCCGTCGCGGATGGCTCCTCAGTGCTGTTCCGTCCGTTATGTTGGTGCCGCTCATAGCTAGCGACCTCCAGCACAATGGACATGGCTTCGGCGGATGCGCCGGCTCGAATCAACTGCTCCCACCAGCCGCTACTTCGCCGCAACATGTTGTGGGTCGTCGCGAGGAATAACATACACCGCTCTTCATTGATAGGCCCCGGAGCGCGCCCAGAGACATGTTCGCGCCATTCCTCAGGCCCCGTCGCCTCTCCAGGGTGTGCGTCGGAGAACAGACCAGCTTGGATGGATAGGAGCATGATCAACTCCAAGTCTCGGCGCGTAAAGCGACGAGTTATCTGTGGAGATCGTGTGGTTAGTATTTGTGCGACTTCATGTTGAACGATACGTTAGTCGCTGACCTGGTCCGGTCTCCGGTGGACGTAAGGCCGCGCACTCCTGATGTGCCGACCAGTGGTCAGTCCGATTAGTTGCGATATAGGATCCAGTAGGTATGTCGATTCTGCCTCTCCGGATGAGGCGTTTTCTTGTCGCTGACCGCTGTTTTCATCTCCGCGAGGCATGTAGTCAGCGTGCAAAGGTACTGTGGTGCACGTTGAGTGGTGGAACACCGACAAGTAGCTGCCGAGATACAGGCGCCGGTGTCTCCGCTTCTCCCGCTTCCCGCCAACGAGGCCATTTCATTTTGTGGCTTTCTTTTTCTAACCGTGCTTCAACGACGGTACTGTTTCTCGCCAATCCTCCGCCATCATATACAGACCCGCGCAATGGACGAAACTCACGCCAACACCGTACCGGCTTCTGAGGAAAAGGAGCCGTCGGTGAATGACTTGGCGTTTGAGCGCATTAGGCGGATCTGGGACAATAAGAGGAAGGAGGAACATGTTGCGAAAACGCACTGTTCGTACTGCGACAAACGAGGCAGTCAAAGAAAGCCGCTGCAGACATGCTCTCACTGCAAGTGGGTCAAATACTCATTGTCATTACTGAACTTACGCTAACTCTCATGATCTGTAGAGCGGCGCGCTACTGCGACACGGACTGTCAGCGTGCAGATTTCCGCGCGGGCCACAAAGACGAGTGCAAGGGTTTCGCACGTCTCCCAAACACCATGGCGTTCCAATACGAGCCCAACCCCGAGGAGCGCTTCCCGCACCATCCCATCTTTGCGCACGCACACGCCGATGATGTGGGGTGCTGGGTCACTGTCGATGGCCGCGTCGACGGCGAGTAGGTCCATTTCCGTAGCTTGGCGACCTGTGTGCAGACTTCTAACGACGTGTTTTCTTCGACAGATTAGAGTCCTTGATGAACACCATAGATCCAGGAGCGCTCAGGGATCACTACGTGAGGACAATGACCGGGACCGCTGCGTCTGCCAGCCACGAGATCATACGCGCCAATAAAACGTACGGTCGCGCCCTGCTCACCCTCCGCGTTC